AACATATTGCTAAAAATGGACAGAGACTAGAAACATTTCCCCTAAAAATGGGAACAAGACAAGGTTGCCATCACCCCTCTTGTTCAACATTGTGCTGGAAGTCCTAGCTAGGGCTTCAGGGGTATCAAAATAGGAAGAGGAAGTCAAGTTATCCTTCTTTGCTGATGATATGATCCTATACCATGAAAATCCAATAAAATCTGTCAAAAACCTGCGTGCACTGATAAAGGACTTTGGCAAAGTCTTGGGTACAAAATAAATGTGCAAAAGTCAGTTGCATTCTTATATACAAACAACAAGCAGGCAGAGATCCAAATTAAAAGCACAATCCCATTCACAGTAGCCACCAAAAAAAATGAAATACCTTGGCATCTTCCTAACCAGAGAAGGGAAAGATCTTTACAATGAGAATTACAAAACACTGCTCAAAGAAATTCAAGAAGACAAACAAATGGAAAAATATTCCATGCTCATGAATAGGAAGAATCAACATTGTTAAGATGCCCATCCTACCAAAGGCAATCTACAGATTCAACGCAGTACCCATTAAGATACCAACATCATTCTTCTCAGACCTGGAAATGGTAATACAGAAATTCATATGGAAACATAAATGACCACGTATAGCCAAAACAATCCTTAGAAAAAGAAACAAAGAAGGAGGTATGAAACTTCCAGACTTCAAACTTTACTATAAGGCTACAGTAATCAAAACAGCCTGGTATTGGTTCAAGAACAGGCATATAGGCCAATGGAACAGGATAGAGATTCCAGAAGCAAAGCCTCAATTTCTCAACCAACTCATCTTTGACAAAGCCTCCAACAGAACCGCTGGGGAGAGGAGAACCTATTCAGTAAATGGTGCTAGGAAAACTAACTGGCTGACCACATGCAGAAGATTAAAACAGGACCCCTACCTATCACCAGACACAGAAATTAACTCTAAATGGATCAAAGACCTATATGTAAAACCTCAAACTATAAGAATCTTAGAAAGCACAGGAGACAACCTTATGGAAATTGAAACTGGGAACCAATTCGTATTCAGAACCCTAAAGGCCAATACCTTAAGAATAAAACAGACAAGTGGGACCTCATCAAATTAACGAGCTTCTGCAAAGCAAAAGAAACCATTAAGAGAGCAGGAAGACAGCCCACAGAATGGGAAATAATATTTTCCAACTGTATATCTGACAAAGGCCTGAGACCTAGGATCTACAAGGAACTCAAATGTGCCAAAAGGAAAAAAACAAACAGCCCCTTTAAAAAGTGGACAAAAGACATGAATAGACATGTCTCAAAAGAAGAAATACAGGCAGCCAAAAGACACATGATAAAAGTGCTCAGCCTCACTCATCACCAGAGAAATGCAAATCAAAATCACATTGAGATACCACCTAACCCCTGTGAGAATGGCCATCATTAATAAAACAAACAACAACAGATGCTGGTGAGGATGTGGAGAAAAAGGAACGCTTTTACACTGCTAGTAGGAATGCAGACTAGTACAACCTCTTTGGAAGACAGTGTGGCGATTTCTGAAAGAACTAGAGATTGACCTTCCATATGACTGAGCAATTCCCCTAATGGGAATATACCTGGAGGAACTCAAATGTTTCTACAAAAAAGATGCCTCCACACGTACGTTTGTTGCAGCTCTATTCACAATAGCAAAAACATGAAACCAACCCTGTTCCTATTGAAGCTGAACTGGATAAAAAAAAAAATGTGGTACATATACACAATGGAATATTATGTAGCCAAAAGAAGGACAAACATATAGACTTTGCCGCAACTTGGATGGATCTGGAGTCGATCATACTCAGTGATTTATCACAGAAACAAAGAACTGAGTTCCATATGTTCTCACTTATAAGGTGACCTTGAACAATTATAATGCTATAAGAAAGCGATTGGCAGTAGTGGAAAACTGTCAGGGAAGCAGGAGTGGGACTGGCAGTTGAGGGAGAAACTGCTAGGGGAGGGAGGAGCACACTTCATCAACAAGGATACCTGCATGATCGGTGTTTATATACCTAACTCTTAATTGTACCCCACATCTTTATAATAAATAAATTAAAAAAAAATTGTTCCTAAAACTCATTTAGATACTAATTAAATATAAAATCAGTTAACACAAAACAATACTTATAAATGAGTTGTAAAAGGTAAGCATGATGCTCAGAAAGGAGACAAAGTGTTTACTCACCAAGTAACGTGGTGATAAACTAATTTATTCATAACTTTTATAGCAACTTAAAGATATGAAATGCACCAAATAAAACCAAATTAAGAGTAATTTCTGAAAAATGATTCAGAATAATGTATTACTAGGAATCTAGTCTTCATAATAAATTTAGGATTTCTCATGAACAAATATGACAAAATAACTAAAAAAAATTCAAAGTAATTGTTACATAAGACACATTTTTAAAAGAGTTTAAACCGGGCCGGTGGCTCAGCCTGTAATCCGGTGCTTTGGGAGGCTGAGGTGGGTGGATTGCCTGAGCCCGCAGGTTCGAGACCCGCCTGGGCAACTTGGAGAGACCTCATCTACACAATAAATAAAAAAAAAAAATTAGCCCGGTGTGGAAGCGCGCGCCTGTAGTTCTAGCTACTTGGAAGGCTGAGGCAGAAGTATCGCTGGAGCCCAGCAGGTCGAGGCTACGGTGGCCGGGAGCGGCCACTGCACTCCAGTCTCAGCGACGGAGTGAGACTCCAACTCAAAAAAATAAATAAATAAATAAAAGAGTTTAAATGTACAGAAAGGCTTAAAGATTGCATTGATTAGAGAGTTTTTAAAAAAATAGTTCTTCCTCCCATCCTCACTCTCCCAAGAATTTAAGCTTAGTTAATGGATGAATTTATAAAGGATTAAAAGACAAGAGAAAAATCTGAGACTTTTGCAGAAACAAAAAGCAATTGGATAAGATTTTAATATAGTATATTTATCAGCATTAAAAATGTAGTTATCTTTATATATTTTGAAAAAATTAGATGATCTACAGCAGAGATCCCTAACCCCTGGGGCCACAGACTGGCACTGGTCCATGGCTTGTTAGGAGCTGTGCTGCACAGCAGAAGGTGAGTGGTGGGTTGAGTGAGTGAAACTTCATCTGTATTTACAACCTCTCTCCATCAACTGCATTACTGTCTAAGCTCCGCCTTCTGTTAGATCAGTGGGGGCATCAGATTCTCATAGGAGCACGAACTCTACCGTGAACTGTGTATGCAAGGGATCTAGATTGTATACTCCTTATGAGAATCTAATGCCTCATAATCTGAGATGGAGCAAAGGTGGTGATGCTATCTACATATTTCATTATATATTACAATTTAATAATAACAGAAATTAAATAATACATATACAGCGCTTGAATCATCCCTTCCCTCCATCTGTGGAAAAACTGCCTTCAACGAAACTGGTCTCTCTGATGCCAAAAAAGGTTGGGGACTGTTGTTATACAGTTTATAGAGATTTCTACTTTATGGAAGTTTGGTTTTTGGTCTGAACTTGCAGGTCCCTTTATTTCCTTCTAATTTTAATAATTCCTTAGAAATGTTCATGTTTCTTTCCATATATAGCAGCTGCCATTTAATTAAATTTAACAGAAACACACAACCAGAAATGCCACAATAAAGATTTTGTTATTACTATATATTTAACAAACTGGAATTTTTACTTCAGGTTCCACTTTAAATGGCGATAGCTATATCACATCAAACACAAGAAATCTGTTCTCTAACACTGATGATAAATTAGCACACACTAGGGAAGCTGCCTTTCAAACAATGTTGTTTTTTTATCTTGCAAGTCTATATTTTAAAAATTATTATAATTTTCCTAAAATACTAAACTCCTTGGGGGTAATTTAAAATAATCACAGCAATTCATAATTTTTTCCCTATTCATTTATTGTTCTTGCTTATCTATAAATTTAATAGAAAATAAGAGACAGTGCATTAAATAACACTAACAAAATTATTATAAGCCTACCACTAAGAATTTCAAAATGAAGCCAAATACATTTTGTGGAAAAATCTGACTTCTACCAAACCTTATACTTCTTGGACAGATTAAAAATATTTTCCATATTAAAAATGTCACCATTTCCTCAGTTTTGGTAGATGATCCTGGCTTTAGTGAGTTACACTGCTAATGCCAAGATAGTCCTGTGATCTGCAGCAAAAACCAAATTTAAGACAACAAAATACAATACAGTCCTCTTTGTAGCTAATCTTTTCTTACTGTACAATAAAAACAATGATGAATCTTTTCTGTTTCTGACAAATTTTTTAAAAATCTGTTAATGAGAATGTAAGTACCCTGAGGGTAGTGACCACTCCTGTATCGCAGGCACTATAGTATGGAACTGGGACAAAGACAAAGAGTAGAATGGAAAGTCACATGCACCTGAAGAAAAAAATATAATTAGTAGAATCAAAATAATGTCCTTTTTCATAGTTACTGAATACATATAACAATAAGACAGAATTGTGCTTCAAGTTCTAGTTAAATTTTATTATCTTTCCCTTTTGTTACAATATTCTAAGTATTTTTTCAATTCCCAAATATATTCACATATTCTTCGGAGTGTCAGTTCTGTGTGTGACTAATACACAAGTCATTTTGAAATTATTATAATAAATATTGATGCAAAGCAAAGGCACATGATTTAATTGTTTTCCTTTTAGTGTGGTCACTTTTAATTAACTACAAAAGGTAATAACATAAAAACAGAAACAGCATGAGCATCTACGAAAAGTTTTTAATATACCACCACTCAAAATTCAGAAAATATGTTGTTTTCATGTACACATACATGAAACAAAATAAAACCATAACAGAAGGGTGCTGTATCTGTGTTTAAAGAAGGGGTTGTTGGCAAACACCACAGCTCAGTTCTGCTGAAATGTACACAACTGATATATGCAGCACAGAAAGCTGGCACCAAGGGCTTACAACCTTAATTTGCCTGCAAGAAGGAACGGAGATTTACCTTCAGAGCACGTTCTTGATTGTTTTCAGCAGTCAGATGTCTCATGTTGTTTGCTGAAGTCTGGTTCTGCTCTTTCAGATGATGAAGCTCCTGCTCTAGCCGTTTGCACTGCCACAGGGGAAGAATCCCATTAAGTAAAGGAGTTATAGCATTTTTTTCACCAAGCCAATGAATTAATGTAAATAATATGGCATTTAAAAAAATACATTCAAAGATATTTCAGAGTTTTAGAAATATCTAAAAGAACAATTTTATAGGGGAAAAAACAGCAGAAGAGTTGCATGAGACTTGGAGAAACATAAAGAATTGAGTGCTTTTTAATTTCTTCTTTTTTGACTAAATCCTACTTATGATTAAAACAAGTGATAACAAGTCTATGGGATTTCCATTTTCACTTGGAATAGAAGTAAAGAACATAAGAGAATATAAGAGAAATTATATGTAAAAACATTAACGGGATAATAGAAATATCTATGTCCAAAAGATTATTTAAATATCTTGCCTCTCAGTATGAATATATATAATATTTTACATAATAATTGCACAGGCTATAAAATGATATGCTGCAAATAAGGATAATGTGGAAATATAGGGGGACAGGTTAAAGGAATACATTACTAAACCTATCTTTCAGTAAAAAGTTAAATCACTCCTTAAATTACTCATTTTAAATTAGGATACTTAAGTAAAAACCAGTATGTATACATATTGATTTAGGAACTGGAAAGAGTTCTTTCTAGATTATTTATGGCTAGTTGTCATAATGATTCAAAAATTATTAGTTATTATGACATAATTAGGTTGTAGCTGTAATCCAAATTGGCATTTCCTACTACTCTAAGGTTGATTTCTTCTGCCTCTGACCTCTTTAATACTAAGCAGTTTGCATTGATATTCCCCAACTCTGAGTAATACACTTACCAAATTATTGATATTAGCTTAGATTGCATAATAATGTTTATATACAAATATAAAATTGAATATGCTTACTTCACGCATACTAATACAATTATAATACTAAAACACATTTCTAAATTAAAAAATAACAGAACCAAGACATTTCAAATTAATATTAATGTTATTTAGCAGATAGCTTTGTTGAAGCTAGTGCTGACTGATTCAGTGGCAGATCCTTTTAAATTGCATTTCCATTCCACCATGTGGTGTGTGACAAATTTATTCACCTATCACATTTTAAAAATTATATAAAACTTTTGTGACATGAATCATTTGGTCTTAATTTTGGAGAAGACATATGATCCACATATTAAACTTTGTCTCTGTCCTTTTTAGCCTGTAACAATTTAAATATTTGGTCACAATTCAACCAAAACACAATGTGCTCAGTGAAGATACAAATCATGAGCCAAGAAAATTAATAACACGTAGTGGTGTCACAACATAGTAAAGAAATTCTCTACTAGTATAATCTTTTACATTTTTATTAACTTTAATATAAAACTATTATGATAACTATTAAAAGGTAATAACTAAATATGACCTATGAGAGTTCACATGTAGGGTAGAGCATTTAGGCTAAGGGAGAAAAAGAATGTTTCAACAAAGGGATGACATCTGAATTGGGCTTGTTTGGAGTACATGATTTTGTAAGCTGCAAATGGAGAAAGAAGAACAAATGAGAAAACCTACAAAAGAAGAAACATCAGGGATATATGTGGAGAAAGGAGGGAGCATGGACAAAAGTTGTCTGACCACTTAATCATTTCATTCCAAGTACATTAGAAATGACCCATGAATAGAGATTTTCCTATCTACATGATGCAAACAAAAAAACATTATTCATTCATTCTTCTCAAGAAATAAATGCTAAATTTATTTTCACTTCTTTATGAGCTTTAAATTTAACACTGATCTGGGACAAGCTGAGCCAAACAGTAGCTTTGAAGTCAGTAAAAAATATATATGAATGTTCTTGCCAGATATACACATTTGCGATTTATATTTAGCTATATTTAAAGTTTATTTAGATCTATTTTATCCTACATTATTTCTTCATTTGAGGCTAACCTTGGAAATCCTTACATAGTCTTCCCCACAATTGCATATTTATATATAATTTCTTCTGGTTTATTTTTTCTTTGATTAAACTCTTTAATTTTGAAACTTATTTTGAAGTAAAGGGATTCAACTGTACATGTACAGAAGAGACAGGAAATAATAGAAACTACTACTACTGTACTTATCACAAATATTACCAAATGTAAAAAAATCTGCTGCAATTCTTTCAGAATTAAAAAAATTAAAACAATGTAATAAACTTCTCCTTCCTTATATCTTGCCATTTTTTTCTCCCTGAGGAATCTCTATTCTGAAGTGCATTTTTATTCAACCAATATTTATTAAGCAATTTCTCTGTGCCAGGCAGTTGTAGATGGTGGTAGATACAGCATTTAACAAACTAGATAAAAATCTCTATTCCCATTGAGATTCCAGGTGGGGAAAAAAGACTAAACAAAATCAGTAAGTGAAATATACAATATGACAAAGGTGAAAAAATGTTGGGAAAAAAAAAAAACCAAGTTAAAGGTGTAGGGAGTATCAAAAGAAATGGTAAGGAAATGCTTTGCAATTTCAAAAAGGAAGACATAATTGAGAAAAAGATATTTGAATAAAGACTCTAAGATGGTAGAGCAGTATCTGCATCTTTTTCTGCATCTTTAGAAAAAGTGGTTGAAGTAGAAGGCAAAATAAGTGCAATGTCCCTGAGGTGGAAGTCTGTCTGATAAGTTTGAGTAACAGGGAGAATCCTGTAACAAGAATGAATAAGCAAGGAGAGCACTGGGAGATGACAGAAGAGGCTCATAGTCTTTACAAAGACTTTCACTCTAAGTGAAATAGAAGTTTGCTGGAAGGTTTTGAACAAAGAAGCAGCATGATTTGTCTTATTTTTAATATTGATTCACTCTTCAGGATATTTTAAGAATAGAATTGGAGTGGGGGAAAGGAAATATTAAGGAAGTCTAGTTGGGAGGCTACTTAGTAGTTCAGAAGAGTGAAGAGGTGGCTCAGACGAGGATGGTAGCTGTGGTGGTAGTAAGAAAATTTTTATTGTAGTAGTGTTCCTTCTTGTACTCTTGTTCCTGAACTTAAAAGGAATGTTTCTAACATATAATTATTAAGATGCATTTTGGTAAATATTCTGATCACATTAGAGAAATTATGTTATTCATAGTTTGCTAAAAAGTCCCACTCCCCTTCTGTAAAAGTTATGAGAGTTTTGAATTTTATTGAATTCTTTTCTCAAATGTGTTGTGTTAATATGGCAAATCATCTCAATTTTCTAACACATAATAATCATTTGATTACTGTGATGATCCCTAATTGATTATCACATATATTACACTGGTCATCTCCATTTGTATATATGTGTATGAAAAATAGACACCTTAATTTGGTTTATAAATATCTTATTTTAGTTTGCTAGTATATCTTATGCAAGAATGACCTGAATTTTTATTTTCTTGGGCTCTCCATTCTGTTGCCAAGGTTGGACTTGACTCACAGTCTTTTTATTTTGTTCTCTGGGACGTTTTATATAAAATAACACATTCCTAGAAGAATCAGTAGAAATCCCCAATCAAACTACCTGAGTTTTTCTCCTGGGCTTAATTGCTTTTTTTCAGAGGTATAGTTTTAAATTTAGTGAGACACTCAGTCTATGCCTGAAAAGTGATTATTTTATTTTCACACTCTTTACTAAGTAGAACTGCTATGATAAATGCAATTTCCTTGCCATTTCAAGGATATTATCCCATTGAAGTCTGGCATCTATTGTTGCTAAAGTGATGTCACTATTTTTCCAATAGTAATTCTTCTGTAGGTTGATCTGTCTTTTCTCAATGGTTGCTTTCATATCCTCTGTTTAACTTTGATGTTCTACAGTTCTACAGCAATATCTTTAGAAGTAGATTTATTTCTATCTTTTTGATACTCTGTCCTTCTCAAAACTGGAAAATTCACAGCTCTCATCTCTCAGAATATTACCTCGCTCCTAGTTTGAATGTACATTGATCATATTAGATCTAAATCTCAGTATTTCTTTCATAATTATTAATTTCTCATATCTTTCTCTTTATGTGTGCATCAATTCTAAGTATCTATCACTAGTGAATCAAGACTCCTGATTCTATCTTCAGCTGTGTCTACTCTTTCTCTATTTGCTTAGTTTTTAGTTTCAGAATATAATTTTATATTCTGAGCTATAAAGTTAGAACTAAAGCATGGAATATAACTAAACTATAACTAAAACTACAGAGTATAATTTTCATTTCTAGCTATTTTCTTGTATTCTTTTCCAATTCTATTCAACTTTTTTCATAGTGTTCTTTTTTCTATATCTATTAAATTGTTTACATATACATATTTTATAGTCTTTCATGTTTTCCTATTATCTCAATTTGTTGGTGTTATAATTCTTTAAATTATTCTTCATGTTGGATTGCTTTCTTATGTGGTATATAGACTCTCACTTTGCTCATCTTCAGCAGACATTCATTTTTGGGATATTAACCTGTGTGGAAGGATTGCCAGATTGATTTTCCATTTGCTTCTGCTGGGTGACCCTAAGTTTTACTTGTCTAGGAAGATTTATATGTTAATGCCTTTGTCTGTGGATTCCCACCATGACAGTTATATAATTTGTTGTCTATAGTCTCATATGAAGGAGTTTTATCTCTTTAATTAGCAAGATAATTTCCCCCTCTCTGCTCAGTCTTGGCCAGAAAAAAGCTTCTTTGTCACTTCTCTGAATCAATATGTTTTCTACTTGTTTTCAGATTCTCTTTTACTGAAGAGGCAGTTTTTTATGGTCTGGTTATATGCAAGAGTCTCACTCAGTTCCCACCTGCCATATCATCAGTTCCTCTAAGGGCAATAAAATCCAAGTTTGTAGGTCTTGGGATATGTATCTGGACTGTAACTGCAATGCATTGGAACATATGAAATATGCTTAAATTATCAGGTTTATAATGAAAATTTAACAATTTTAAACTAATTGTTAGTGTTGGAGAATACTAGTAAACTTTTATCCACTTTCTTATATAAACTTTACCACAGAGTAATCAAATAAAAATATTAACTCTGTTTAT